GAATGTCATTTTCTCTTGCTTGGTTACTCTCTCCTGTGCTTTTAGTAAGAAGTAAAGGAATATAAGTCTTGTAGAAGAGAAACTTTGGTGACCTGTACATTAGTTTAGGAAACTGCCTACTCTCGGCTGCCCTCCTCTAGGCCTTTACAATGGGCTCCTGTCTTTGGTTTAGCAGTGACGCCTGTAAATGGACTTAACCTGAATTAAATGTTATCCCTGTTACATTTGTTGGAGATTTAGAATTATTGTAATCTGTTAGGATGTAGCTTTTGACTTAGAGAAGACAGCTGGTTGTTTGAGCTGTAGATATCAAGAGGGTTGATAGTACCCTCTTGCAGGGAAAGCATCTATGAACTAACTCAGATTTTAATGTTACTTTTGATGAGATAACGTTTAACATACAGTTTCTTCTTTCCTCCCCCTTGAAATTATCAGCCCGCGTTGCCCTGTATTTTGAAGCTTTTTTATTTAAGGAATAAAGCAACCTTGGGAGATAAGTGTTTTTTGTTTTTCTCCTGTAGGTCCTAGTAGGGATGGCACAATCAGTGAGGACACCATCCGGGCCTCTCTCATCTCAGCAGTCAGTGACAAGCTGAGATGGCGGATGAAGGAGGAAATGGATCGTGCCCAGGCAGAGCTTAATGCCTTGAAACGAACCGAGGAAGACCTGAAAAAAGGTCACCAGAAATTGGAAGAGATGGTTACCCGTTTAGATCAAGAAGTTGTAAGTAATTTACTGAATAACTGTGATGGTAGTCTCGATAGTGTTCTCCATATATATGTGCGTGCCTTGGTTATCCTGGACATTAGCATGTCTTTAAGCCTTTGAATATAGGATAGCTTAAAGTGGAGCCTGTGATTGTAATTGGCCTTTGATTGGGAAATAGATGTATTTAGGGCATTTTGCTTATACCTTCATCCTGAGATGATCGTGTTTTTACCCAAAGGAGGACTGGTTGAATGCTCGATATTGCCATAAGACTTAAGAATTTTCAGAGTGCTAAGCCATGATAAAGATCAACATACCTTAGATACAGACTTAAGGGTCAGTTCCTTTGCTTCCAAGCACTATTTGAACTATATTTACAGTATCTCTAGCTCTTCCTGTTAAGTATCTTAGATGATCTCTAAAAATGGTTCCCTACTTACTTGGCCCTTAAAACTCTACAGTCACGCAAATTGGGAGGTTCAAGTCTTCGTGTTCATTTTAAGGAGACTAGGCATTTTAAGAATGCCCAGGCCATCAGGGATATCCACATCCAGAAAGCCAAGTGTCTGAAGGATGTCACTCGATAGAAGCAGTGTGTGCTGTTCTGTCATTACATTGGTATAGCTGGTAGGGGTGCCCAGGCCAAAAAGACAGCTGACTTTTTCTGCACATGCTTTAAAGTGCAGCACAGTGCTGAGCTTAGGGTTTAGATGTAGGTTCCCAGTTGAGCACATCCAAATGAACGAAGTCCCCAAGACGTACCACACAGCTCACAAAGCTCAGGGTTACACTAACCCACAGATGAGCTCCCCCTGCCACACTGAGGATACTTGCTGAAAAAGAGCAAGCAGATTGCTACCAACCCAGAAGAGGGCATACACAAAAGAACAAGATCCCTGAAGGAACTAAAGAAACAAATTTAGGACCTTGGAAATAAATTCAACATAAAATAAATGCAAATAAAATATCTTCAATGAACCTTTTTTTTTTTTTTAAGATTTATTATTTATGCATACAGAACTGGGGTACAAGCCAGAGGTACGATGAGAGGATTCACCAGAGACAGCATGGGGAGCAGAACAGGCACATCGACAAAGTACCCTGCTGAGGGGAGCAGCGGGCAGGTCAGGAGAGGTCTGCC